GAGTGGCAAAGGATATTTTTTGACATCTTCAATAGGTGATAAAACCATGGTTAAACTGTATCAAATAATTTAATAACAGTACTTTCACGTTAAAGAAACATTATTTCCTATAATTTGAGCTTTTGTACATGTAACTTACATGGAAGAAGAGTTTACAAATCAACTTATACAACAAACTTATTCCCAGTCAGTACCCCTATGCACAGTATACCTATGAAACAAAACAGAAGAACCCTAATAGGAATCCTAAAGGATGCCTAAGATCCCTTTTCAAACACTACCCTTTCATTCTCAGTAAAAGTATCCACTATCATGAAGTCTAACTCACACTTTGTTTTGAATGATCATATATTATACACAATGTTGTATTTGATTTACTTTGGTTAATAGTATGTACAATTGATTTTTGTCTTTACTTGGGACTACAATTTGTGTTCTTTAGTATGAAATTGAATTTGACAGTTTATTTATATATTTTACCACTACAGGAAAAGTTTGCTTCCAGATTTTTTTTTCAGTACCAGGGATTGAACTCAGGACCATGCACTTGCCAGGCAAGGACTTATTCTACTAAGCTATCTCCCCGGGCTTGCTTCCAGAGTTTTGATAATAAATCTAATGCTAAATTGAACATAACTGTACTTATTTTAGAGGATATCACCAGTAATTCCTATTGAAATTGCTGGAAATATGCATGCACATATACACAGCTTTCCTATATCCTAGCAGCTTATAAGTAATTTTCCCAATTTAATTTCCACCAAATACAAAATTTTCATTTTTGATCATATTTTGTTGACTCTTCACATTGTCTATCTTTTCAATTTCAGCCATTTTGGTGAGTATTGTAATGTTATGTCATTTCTCTAATAATAAAGTTTTTAACATATTTATTAGCCATTTGAGTGAAAAGCCCATTAAAGTCTCTCATTTTGTTTGGTCTCTTAAACAATGATTTATATCAGTTTACATAATATAGGTAAAGCCATTTATCAAGTACATGAATTGCAAATACTATCCTATATGGTGGTATGCTTTTATCTTAGCTGCTTTATACCACTAATTTTTGTTGTGTTTAAGAAATACTTTCCTACATCAAGCTAATAAAGATAATCTCTTATGCCATAGAAGCTTCATTATTTTACTTTTCACATTTGCATGTGCAACCAAAGTTGCATGATGAGAAATAAAATCAGATTTAATTTTTTATTCAGTGGTATTTACTGAAAATATTATTTTTAACTGATAAAAATAAACCATCAGTTTTTTTTAACCTGGTGAAACATAAAGATGCGAATAACAAACTTTCAAGAATCTAATGTTGTACTAAAACAATAAAAATAGCAAACACAACTGTAATGCAAAGCTAATTATCATAACTACATGATAAACAGGCAAAAATAGAAGGTATCTAATATATGTAATAAATCCAATAAATATGTAGCACTGTATATTAATCTTGTTTCTCCGAACTTAGAAAACATTCTAAATACTGATCTAATCCCAACTAATTTCCATATATCCTTAAAAAAGAATACTGGCTTATTCTCTGACCATATTACACACAGAAAATAATCACTGCATTCTAAACACATATGTATTTCATACTCTTACATACCTTTTTTTTGTGTGTGTGGAACCAGGGATTGAACTTAGGCCCTTGCACTTGCCAGGCAAGCACTTATAGTACTGAGTGATCTCCCCGGCCCCTCCTACATAATTTTAAATCAATGAGGAAATCATGCCTACATTTTATACAAATTACTTAGAAAATAAGAAATC